CAGTTTGAAGACTTCGCTTTGTCGTACCGCCCGAGTTAATGGAATCATACTTTTCGCATCAAGAAAAAGATTTTTTTTGGATGCTTGGCGCAAGTGGCCGTGTATACTATCTGCGCAAAATGTGTACCTCAGTTGTCACCACATGCACAAAATAGTTTTTTGGCAATAATTTACAACGTTGATTTATCAGCGTGTTCAATCACAAAATAGGTGTTTCTGGATACTGCTAGCTAATAGGACAATCGCACTCAAAAAAAATGCACAGTGAAAACTCCAGATGCATAATTAAAACCCATATTCACAGCAAATAATCTACGTTGAAAACGTTCGAGTTGAAGCGTGTTCGCCTATTGTGCTTCGTTATTGCAACGATAGCATGCTATAACTACACGAAACACCTCGTGTTCACAACTATAAATTGACCTTTTGAGCCTGTCTGCGTCCTGATTGTATTTCGGTGACGGAGGCCCATAGGGCGGCTCTAAAGCGCGCCCATCCACGGTCGGTCATTGACCCTCGTGTCGCCTGTGGATCGCGTTTTGGAAGCGAAGGACGCGGTAACTCGATCGTTACGCGTCCACATCATCGGGCCCCCGGCTAGAACGGATGATGGGTAAACTTGCAATCTTCGAGCTCGTTATACTGAATTCTTCATTAGCATACAGGTGTAAAAGTAAGCAACTGGTCTCCTCTCATAACAGGAATTTCATGAGGTGAGAGACCCATAGTGCAGATGACCAAAATCAAACATGAAGAGGAAGTGATATACTGCAGTTTTGGCAAAGAGTGGAGCAAATTATCTATCCAAAATGTAGGGCATAAAGTGATTAAATTGGCTCATAAAAGCTGTTGCTTTTTGTAAACAAGGCAATATTCAGACCATACGTGAGCCATAAGAGCAACAAGAACTCTGTTCAGCATTTCTTATTCCAGTGAACGGCGCCAAACGTGAAAGACGTGATCGTAAAAGGAGGCTGAACCCACGATGGGTGCCTTCGCCTGAAGCGCTACCGGATGAAGCCACCAATCCGCGCCATACGCAAGGGAGTTGTGGCTATTATAGCTCGCCGCTTTGACGAGTTTCGTCGCATCTTTGGCCAGCTTCAGAACCTGAAAACCATTATGCATGCACGCTGCGAGCAAAATATCCTTATATACAATGATGAAAAGTTAGCACTAAAACTTATTAGTTATGTACAAAGAAGAACATTGACAAGTGAATAAATACTTTGCGATTTTCATGTGGGTGCCATTTGAGGCGCCAGACACCGCCACCGGCTCCGTACTTGACCAGCGGGCGTGTCAAATTGCGGTGGTCCCAGATGGCAATCTGCTCGTCATAGCTGCCTACAGCCACCAGACGCTCATCATGCGGGTGAAACTGGATACTACAAACACCCATAGAGTATTGCTGCATATTTTTAAAGATGGGAGCTGCAGTAGCACGTACATCCCATCCTTTGAGCGTTGCATCGTCCGCGCCCGAGAAGAGAATATTTGGATCATGGCAATTGAAAGCTGCTATCCACACCTCAATGGGTGATCCATATAGGTTATGTGCACTCCACTGAGGTTATGCCAGCAGTTTTTACCAATTAAAGTCAAAAACCTGAGAAAGTTTACGCAAGGTACTTTACCTTTATCTGTTGAACGATGCCATGGGATGCTGTGTTCCAAATGGACAACGTGCTGCCACATGGAATATCACATACGACGGTACCATGCGACGCAATTAGCGTCATAAATGTACGCAAACGTGCAGTCAAATGATACTTACCCGTCTGAATGGCTTACACAAATTGAAGGTTGAGCGTTCGAGAGCGAACGATTATTCCAATCTAGCGAAAGGCACATTGATGCTGCGTCTGTACCCGAAGTCAGCCCTGAGTGGCGTAACACATCCTTGTTGTTTTCGCGAGCCAGTTCGTACAGCTCTAGTGAGCCGCTTGCCGTGGCAATGCCAAGCATCGCCTTATCATATATTTTTTCTGAACTCCACTTGATGTCAAAGATGCCACTTGACGCCGTGACATCACCCAACTTATGAACAGAGATATCCAAGCCGTCTGTGATAGCGGCGCCATCGCAGCTCAGACTAAAATGTTGCAGCATGCCACTGCGGCGGTCCAGGGTCTCACCAGTCTCTACCGCTTTATGAAGCTGGTAGGTGGCTACTATCATTGACGATTCAAATTCTGGCACAGGGCAGGACTCAACACAGTCCGCCGTCTCCGCAGTATCGAACTTTGCAAGCGTAGCATTCGTTTCCATTGCATTGCTTTTAGTCATAAATTTACTCTGTCGAAGCTTTCATTTATACCCAAAATGAATTGAGTCAATTTTTAAAAACAGTAGCAACTGCTTACGTGGTGGACATGAGCAACAGCGGCTCTGATGATGATTTTTTTGGCTGCATGGAGAGCGAAGACCTTTTTTCGGAGACACTAGATCAACAGGAGAAACGTCGTGAGGCTAAGCGCTATGCGGAGCAGTATGCAGAACGAAAATGGGGGTTGGCGGCTAGACAACAGAGAATTCAGGGTATGGACAAGGATATGGTCATTGAGAATGCAATTGAGCTCAATGCCGATAAGCTGGTCGTTTTTCGAGAAAATGAGGGTCAGCAGGCCAAGGTCTGGGACTGCGCATTAGCGCTGGCAAAGATTCTGGCTAATAGTGCACTCTTCCCTCCAGACTTTTTCCTTAAGAAACGTGTGATCGAGCTAGGCTGCGGCATCGGCGTGCCGGGTTTGGCCACCGCAGCACTTGGAGCTGAAGATGTGGTGCTTACTGACATGGTAAGGCGATTTATGTTTTCCTGCACTTAGTCTTTCTTACGTTCTGCTATATTTAGCCTATCGCGGTTCCCTGGATTCAAGCTAACATCGAGAGAAATTATGCGCTGGGGTGCATCGCCGGCAGAGTTTGTGCGCAAGGGTTAATGTGGGGTGAGAATCATGACAACAAGCTGCATTCGTTTGACATCATTCTGTGCTCAGACCTAATCTATGGTCATCGCGACATCGCAAAGAGGCTAGTGCAGACAATAGTACAATTGTCGCACGCTGATACGCTTATCGTCTCAGCGCATGAAGCACGTTTTGCTGGCGATCGGGGCCTATCTTTCTTTGAGCTGCTTTCGGAAAAGCATTTTACGATCAACCACGTTCCCTCTGAACACCTTGACGCCGTCTACAGCGCTAGTAATATTTATATTAATCTGATTCGACCCCCGCAAACTTAGAATATTTTGAAGTGCTTTAAATAAAGAAATGGTACAAAATTTTACATGTAATGATAACCAAACCTGGCCGTAGATTTCTTCATCAGTCGCTGACACCACTACTGAGCTCGTCTGCCGTGGCTGCATCTTCTCGGCGAATATTGTGGCAATCTGTGTTTAACCTCGATACAACTCACTTTCACGATTCGTTGGTGAGCGATGATGACTTGCAAATAGAGCTGGACGTGATCACAAAGGATGAAGAAAAAGTTCTATCAGACGAGTGCTATCACATTCTCAAGCGACGCCGCTATGAAATTAGCCACTGGGACAACGTTATCCTGAATTTTAAGGAGATGGAGCGCTCACGCTGGTCCACCGAGACGCAGCGAATTTTGCAAAAGGTCCGTGAAACAGCCATTTTACCAAAAGAACTAACCTATTTTTCGGCTGTCCATGTGATTGAACTGGCGGAAGATGGCTACATTAAACCTCACGTGGACTCTATCAAGTTCTCCGGCCGCGTGGTGGCTGGGCTTAATTTGCTCTCACCCTGCATAATGAGATTTAGGGAGGTGAACGGAGATTCGGTCATTGATGCTTATCTGCAGCGTCGTTCCATGTACATGGTGACTGGAAGAATTCGCTACCATTATACGCACGAGATTATGCCTGGCATACAGATTTTCCGACAGAAGGTAATCGTTAAACGCACGTCTCGCATCTCTATAATGCTGCGCGACGAGTATCTTGAGGAACACATTACAAAGTACTACAAACCCTTCGTCGCGAAAAATAATTAAATTGCAATTCAGTGATAACGTATTCGATGAATTTTAATATTTGGTAGCAAGACGCTTTTTCAGCACGCTATCGCCGCGTCAGAAAAGCGTGCAGCGACTGTGCATCACTGCGCAGCACCGTCCTTACGAAATCTGCATAAAATACGAAAGAACATCGTCGCATAGCACGACTTGAAGTAACACTTTGATGATTTCACACAGCAGCAAAATAGTCTAGCAAAATGGTCAATCCACTCAGACGACAGCTCGCACGTTGCTTTTGAACTTAGAAGGCCCCTTCGACCTCGAGCTAGACTTTTTCTCTGCGAAGCGATAGTCAGCACGGTTGCTGTTGACGACACCGGTTACCTTCTTTGTTGACTGTGCAATGGCATCAATCTTGCTTATGCTCTCGAGCGAAGAAACGATCTCAGCTGCACTCGGTCTTTTTGACGGGTTGTGCGACCAGCATCGAGCCATGAGCTCCGCCCATTTTATATTGCACCGGCCGGGCTTCATAATAGGTCGGAAGCCCGACAGCACATAGCTACTGATTTCAATATTGGAATGCATGTCTGCATATGGTAATTCCCCAGTTGTGAGCTCCCACATTATCAATCCAAAGCTAAAGATATCCACGGCTTGCGGAATTGAGCAATCGTTAGGGAATGCCCCCTTTAGAACACGTTCCTCGCCTAGCTTTAGAAGTTCAGGTGCTGTCCACCGCAACAACGCTGATCGCTCATCTATAGTATTCATTCTACTTCTATCAAAACCAACTGCATCAGCCACACGTCGTGTTCCAAAGTCCGCAAGCTTGGCATTCCATGAGTCGTCCACTAATATATTCGTGCTTTTGAGCTGTCCATGAACAAGTGGAGGGTCTGCACTATGTAGATAAAGAAGCCCTCTTGCCGCTCCAAGTGCGAGGCGTATCCTTAGACTCCACTTAAGATTCACTTTTTTTTTAATTACAACATCAGAAGCGCCAAGTATACTGGCTGAAGCTGATCTTGGAAGCACCTCCAACTCAGGCCGCTTATGTCTGCTTTTGTTCGAGACTGAGGCTTTAGGAGCGTGCAAAACATTAAATAGCGATCCGCGCGTACAGTACTCACTTACGATACAGAAGTAGTCTTCCTGTAAACAAGCACCCATGAAGAGCACCGTATTAGGGTGCCGAAGGCTTCCCATTCGTGTGGCTTCTACCTCTAGCTCCATCTCGATATTTTCTCTGGCTGAGGGTTTTGACGGCAATGAAATCATCTTCATCTTCTTGACAGCGACTGCCGAGCCGCGGTACGAGCCCTTATATATGACGCCCAACGGTCCTTCGCCAATTACATCAAGACAGACTACCTCATCGGCCTGCAAGTTATAAAAATAAGATCTCGATTAAGAAACTCTGTACTGATGAGGCTTGAATGAAAAGACGAACCGCAAGTAGAGAAGTGGTGCCAAAGGTAGATTGTCCCGTAGATTGAGGCAAATAGCTATGGTTGGATTCGTCTAGTTCAGCCTCAAGCTCAGCTGCCATGTCGCCGTCAGGGAGACATTTGGACAGACAGAAGCCCATGGTGGGGACGTCCCAAGAAATTGATTTTGCTCTCTCACCGCGGGGCCAGGTTTGAGCAAGTGATGGAGCGCCTCTGCCTGGTGGATGTTGTCAATCGCAATATAGTCCTTTTTTTACTGACTCCAAACTGTGGCTACCCAAAATCACCGAGCACCATATGCATCTTTCACATCCGTGAAGGGCAAGTTTGTATAATACATTAAAGGTATTCTTTCTCTTGGCACGACAAATTTTGTTACACATAAATGAAGGGCATTTCTTAAAGGGAAAAATTGCAGCCAATTGCGCTCACATGTATGTTAAGCAATTGATATAGTTGCAACGACGATGAAGTTTTATATGTCGTGCTGAGCCCAACCTTTACTTTATGCATTATGTCATCACATTTTAATCAATACCACAGCTACCAGAAGGTAGGTAGGGCTGTTTCGTAGTAGCGGCATCAAAAATTGCCATTTAGAGGTGTCCTACACAACCTATGCTTGTGCTGATTTTCAAATGCTAATATTTTGTACTTGTGAATTAGCGCATTTCAGATGGTTGATGGCGAGAATATCAATTCTCACAACACCATACGTTGATATTGCGCACATTTCAGTACTTTCAGGATAGGGGATCAAAAGTTAATGCTTCGCGAGCCGTCTCATACATGTGCTCCCTGATGTCTCGCGCTTACCGGTCCAGTCAGTAGTCCTTACTGCCGGAACTTTCACAGCGTTGGATTTTTAAATGCAGAACCCGAGCTAAGTGACGTTCAGTGGGTTGCAAAAATGAGAGCATGCTATAACTTGGTGGCTTGCGTCACGAATAGCCATCATCAACAGTCCTGGCAATGGACACCGCACCGTCGATGTACCGCCGTCATTACAAAGCCTTTTGTATGGCTTACATGTCAAATTTGAGGACTCAAAATAAAATAGTCCCGAAATCTTAATTTTGTTCCTCAAAAGATGCTATCAATGATTTAACTACACTTAGATGTCATTTGCAGCTCTCGGCAAATTAACCTCATTTTTTACAGGTTTATGTTCTATGTGCGCGCGCAAGCAATATTAAGGGAAGGCTCATGTCGCGATGCCAGCTTGCTTTGAGCACATTTAGCTTAGCCCATTCTTTGCATAACGATATGTATGATCTGTCGCTTCTGACCCGCTTTTTCTGTGCTTTGTATCTGAATATTTCTGATGTCCTTGGCCCAGCACAAATCTCGATCTCACCGCCCTCGAAGTCAGCTTCAAAGTGAAACTATAAATAATTTGATGAAGTATACTTGCTTCATTAACAGCAGGAGTGATAAATTCACCATTACTGCAAAACGAGTGGAGCATAGGAAGAGACCAATAAAAAAAGCGCGGATTTGCGCTATGGACAGTTTACACCCATTCGGTTTAGTCCGCCATTAATGCTTAGTTTGTATCGACGGTAAAATGCAGCAGAGCAAACCTTAGGCAGCAGGAAGTTTGTATAAGAGCACAAGCGGTAGATATAGATGGTATGTCTCGCCTTCGCTTGGTGACCTCTTCACATCTCCGCTCTTTAAAATTAAGAAGCTTGGGTAATTGTGAGACTGATTGTCAGATAAAACGAAAGTTTTACGATTGAGAGGGCTGAAGCATCGTCTACCATGGTGAAGTCTATAATGGTCACTCGAGCAAGATATAGACGGAAGAAATTTTTGCTAAGGGTTTTGTTGAGTACTAGCATCTCATCATTGGTGACAATAACTCTAGGAATCATGGTATCCAGATCACAAAAGAAGTCGAAAGTTTTGAGATGTCACCAACCTATATTCGTTTCACCACTTGAGCTATCGACACACTTCCAGAGTGACCACCCGTAGTCACTCTATAAGACCCTGTACTATTTTAAGCTAGAAATGTCAATTACATGACATAAAACAATGAAGTGTGAACCGTTATCAGCAGCATACGGCTAAAGAGCTTTTCTGATGCATAGTGAGAGTTGGTTCATAACTCAAAGAGTGTTTTCTCTGCCAGGAGAGCAACTCCCAATCATTTTCGATCGCCAATCGATCCAAGGGTCGAGCTTCTAAAGCCAAGGTATACCTAAAATCAGCATACCGCTCGTCTATCTCGAAGACTGTAAATACTTTCTTGGAGTTGACGGCTTCCAACTTTCATCGAAGATCAGCAGTATTTTCTTAGTGATAAACACCGCACCAGTGACCAACTTCACTGCGATAGAGCCATTGCTTCTGTAGAGTGCATTCTAAGGCACTGAATCTTTTCCAGCGACTCTTTGCTTCTGCGCGTAGTAACGCGACGCGCCGGAGTCAATCAAGACTCGAAACAGACGACGGTGACACCCACTGTGACCACGAAGATACCCATGACACCCACTGTGACCACGAAGATACCAATGACACCCACTGTGACCACGAAGATAC